ATATTAAAACTTGCCAGTTCCTCTTCCTTCTTGTCTAATAAATAAAAGGGATTTATGTCCATGCCATTTTTGTAATATATTTAAAGCAAGCAATTCAGTTGTCACTGTTGTCTTAACTGTAGACATTTTTGACTTTAGAACAATATTATTACTTTACTAAACTGTTGTTTGGCACTCCAATGTCTTGTTTTGAGACAATTATTGCTGTTTTTATGAAGTTTGGTCTGTTTGAGGAATTCATTGGTCTTTGATTTCTGGTCATAAAGTCAGAGACTTAGTTGATAATAAAAACTATCTTGTGAGGTCAGCACTATTTGGTCACTTAATGACTGCATCAATCAAAATCTGTCATATACCGCCCACTAAAAACTGTACCCAAAGTCATATGGTAATTAAATATGACAATAAAAAGAACAGGGCATTTACCAATATTTAGTGAAAGAATTCTGTTGGTGAATTGTAAGATTCATATCTTTTTTTTTTTAGAATAATAGGTAGATATATCAAAATTGGACAGAGACATTTTTTAAAAACAAGTTGTCTTACTCCATCAACAAAGACTTCAAGAGATACCTGGGAGACGGACCTTCCTATTGAAATAAATTCTAAATGGATTTGCCTAGCAGGGATAGGGCTTGATAAAACCAACTAAAATTAGTTGATTTGACTTGTTTTTGTCAAATTTAAACCAGTTTAACAAAATAGTGATGAAAGAATAGTGATTTGGCTATAAAATTGAAATGTGCTACCCCAGCCTTGGATATAAAGATATATTTACAGTACTAGGGAGTTTGGTTCAAGTTTTATAATATACAGAAGACTTTTATGGCAAAATTTGTCACGATAGTAATAATATGATATTTCAGCAGTTTTTCCTTTTTCACCAAGGTCTGTCCTGTCCAAAATCATTGAGAAACATTTAAGTTTAAAAATAATTATTTTTAACATTACTGGTCAAAATCACCATTTTTCTCCATTATGTCAGTCACTCCAAAAATAAAATAAGAATTAAGTAGAATTGAAAATAAATATTTTGTATACAGTTTTGGACGTGGTATTTTTTAAGGATGAAAAGTGTTGAAATTGGCTAAAAAAAGGTCTACCCCTGATTGTGGGACTTCACTGACATGGGAAACTTTGAAAACAACTCTCTCAGTTTCATTGGCGGCTGTTGGGCTCCCAAGGTCAGAGCAAGCATATATCATCTGTTGGGTTAACACAAGCCATTTTCATCTTTTCTGCAAAATAAACCACTCTTTTGTAAACTGTCTCTGCATATCCATCATAAATTATTTTAAACCTCTCTCTTAAGATATCCAGACCAATACCAGGCATGCTTTATTGCCAGACGGTAAATTAAAAGTTGTTTATTGGCAGTGGTCTGTTAATTTCTGCCGCTACTTGCCCGGTCATCATAATGGTCAACTAAGGTGACTGGGCAGGTGGCCTTAGACAAACAAGGCAGCTGGACAGCCAGCTTGATGGATCGATTAAATTGAGATGGGAGACACACTGGGATTATTTTATTTTGTTTCCATTGATATTGAAAGCAGAAACTGACCTCCAAATCTTTATCACGCTTGGACTAGATGGTGTCATTTCTCCTTTGTGTAGCTAGTAGCGTTTAATCTCAGCTATCTTCTCTGGTTTTTTGCTCATATTCAAGCTGAATTGACCAGGCCTTTGGCAGTGCGTAGAGTGGTCATATCTCCTCTTTTGAATAATGATTTATATTAAATATTGAATAAATGAGAAAGCATGATATTAAGAGTCAGCAGTACATGACAGAAGAGGTGTGAACATATTTGACGTAAAGTTCAAGGTCTGGTGGGAGGTTGTGGTTAGTGGGACGTGTATTTGACAATCTTGAGGCTGCCATGGTATTCCAACTCCATTCTGCCTTGTCAGCAGAGGTGTCAGACAATTACAAAATGAGAAGTCGAAAGTCAGGGGTGGGTAACCACAATTTTCTGTAACATGTGCTCAACAGGTTTAGGTATCTATTTTTGCACAAAGTCTGCATTTTTATTCTAAATCTTGAACTAAATAGTTTTACCTCGGGGAAATTTGTGATATAATATGATGTTGTGTCATTCTGTGCCTTATACCCACTTTTAGTATAACATTAAGTTTCAGGAGATTAACGTGAAGCTTCAAAAATCTTCTCAACTGAGGCCATTTTAACATTACTAGTAGGTATCAGTGTTAGGTCAATGAACTGGTGGCCCTCTGTGGTTGAGTTAAATTAAAAAGAAATAGATTTAACATCATGTTGTAATCAGAAAAAATATATTTTGCCTGGATGGCACAAACCTCTTGAATTCAAACAGAAATGATTTAAACTTGGAATCCTCATAACTGTATATTTAAAGCGAAGCAGTTTTTGCAAATGTCTGCAGGGGTCATGTGACATGCTCCGTAGCTCTGTCTGTACTCGTAAGTCGTGTTCCTGCTGGGCGGACATGTGTTGCGCAAGCTATTGGCGTGTGGAGAGGTAGAAGAGAGGGGAACTGAATGCCAGCATCATGGATTAGATTAGATATTAAAAACATGCACAGAGCTATTGGTTTTGAAGTGTGGCATTTTCAAAGATGGTGGCTGCTTTCTTGCTCTCTGATGGGCTTTTGCGTTTTTTTCTGCTGTGAGGTTTAAAAGGTGCTTGTTGTTAAAGGGAACGTGATTCATGTCTATTTTTTTCTGTGATAATGCATTTGGTATTAAGGTTTTTACCTATTTGTTTTAGGTGTTAGAAAATTTAAATTCATCTTTCACTCTTACCAACCTTTAAATTAACAGTTTGGTAGGAAAACACCTTTTTTGAAACCAAGAAATATATTTGTTTAATACTTATTATCTTGCTGTGACCTCAAATTTACCTCACCACAAAAAAATCTTAATCATCCAATTGTCCATGGTTTATGTTTGTTTGGCATGATCATTTTTTTTATAATCTACGTTTTTTTTTAACAGACGGCCCAGCTGGGAAGTATCTCCTCACTGGCAGTATCACCCCACAAAAGCTGAAGGAAATGTTTACATTTTCTGCTGACCTGTTATACTACCCAGCAAAGTAACTTGGCTGCTGCAATGTTGCGCAGTTCCTAAAATACTTAATGTAGCATGTGGCAGTTTGCCAACCGATGGCCTGGCTAAGGTCAGCCATCAGAACATGTACTTCCCTGTTTAAGTCCTTCCATGTAATCTTTTGATTTTTAACCCTAATTTTACCTGCTTTTCTCCTTTTTTTTTTTATCTGTATTTGACTTTTTGCTATTTCTCTCTCTCCTCATAGAATCCTAAAATGTTTTAAATATAATTCTATTAACCTCTCTTTCCCCTGTCATAGAATCCTGTAACTTATTAAATATTAGTGCACTAACCTCTCTCTCTCTCTCTCTCTCTCTCTCTCTCTCTCTCTCTCTCTCTCTCTCTCTCACACACACACACACACACACACACACACACACACACACACATAGAATCCTACACCTTTTAAAAATAAGTACATTAACAGAGAGCCAAGCAACCAATAGGCCTAGATTGGGTGTATACTCTCTGACTGTGACATGAACCACTTTGCACCTGAACAAATTATGCATGCTACAGGTATAACAGTCTGACCTTTTCCCCTCACAGAGCACGGCCTGGGGTTGCATTTCACACCAAGTCTTCTTACATAATATGATGCAGCTGCCTGTCATTGTTCACACCTATGGGATGAGCCAGATGAGATGCAGTTTTTTCCTTTCTAAAAATTCCTCCAGTGTCTGTGTTTCCATGACTTGCATTGCTCAAGATCTAAAATAGACCTTTATGTATGAACAATAGAAAAAAGAAACAGAAATTGTTTGGTTATATCTAATTTAGGAAGCCCTTAAGCCTGCATTCACTAATAGAGTTTAGTCTGGGTAGTCTATGGGTAAAGGTGGTGTGGGGGAGTTATGTTATAGAAGAATACCAGGGCTGCCCACACACTTTAGAAACTCATACAAGACACAACACAGATAAAAAGTAAAGTTGACTCTGGTGATGCAGAGATAATCATCAATAGCCTGGGTACAAACAACAGGCAGGATATGCTATTTATATCATAAGGGTCATAGATTTTTTTCAGCATCCTGGTCTGAACCCAGTTCACAGCCCACTTTTCTTAGGGTATTTTTACCTGAAAACTTGAGAGAAACCTCAGGCTCGTAGCCAGGGGGGGTTCAGGGGGGGGGGGGGGTTCGCTGGGAAAAGGTCCACTTTGGGTAAAATTTGATCTAGGTACATGAAGGTTTTATGGTAAAAGATCCACTTTTTCAAAAAAAGAACCCCCCTTTTGAAAGTGCTGGCTATGGGCCTGAACCTACACAGAAATTTACATGTTGCAAGATGGAGTTACTCATATAGTGTGTCCATGCATACACCAGCAGGCACCCTTGCTTTATGGTAAAAACTTGAAAATTTTGTCACTTAAAAATTAATTAATATCTTAAAATGTGTCAATCCGACACACCCATATAAGTTGATAAAACTTTTCAATGTAATGGAAAGTCCCATTTTCAAGTTTGGTGAAAATTTTCAAAGTGAAAAAAAAATTACACTGTCAGAGAATCGTCTTCTGGAAGAATTTTTTTAAAATGACTAAATGTTCAAGTTTTTACCATAGTCATCGCAGCAGATGTGGTCAAATAGTGATCTTCCCTTTGATCATATGATGTAGCAGTTGTAGAAGACTGATAGGGCAATACTGTAGCAGCCAGCTGGAAATGACCTGCTCTGGCAAATAGTGTGGTAGTGAGACTGGTATACAGAATGGAAAATATGAATGCATGGAAAAATACATACATAAAGTGGTATTAGAATGTTTTTCAATATTTTCAGAGCTCTGCTCTACAGCTTTGGTTTGGAATCTTACAACCCACAGGTTAACACATTCACTTTTAAAGACATTGCTCATTTGTGATATAAAGTGAAAAACAAAGGAAGCTAAAATATTTCATGTCTTCTCTTTTCAGAACCCAGCAACTTTGTTTGTGGAACATGCACTACAAAGTTCACTTCGGCCTGGTTCCTTCTCCAACATGTTCAGAATGCACACGGCATGAAGATCTACCTAGAGATTGAGCCGAGGTTGTCCTTTGAACCACCTCAGGCAGCAGCGGCAGCAGAAACTAATGGCAATAAAACTGAAACAGTAAAGATGGAGAGGCCGAAGACAGAAGAAATGGACGAGGAAGAGGAAGAAGAGGAAGGAGAGGATGATGAGGAGGAAAAATCGGAAAAGTCTAATCAACCACAAACGAGCAGACCATCGTCTCACACTCCTAGGTCAATAGGAGAGATGAATGGAACTCCCCCTAATCCTTTCCTCCCATTTAGAAGCCCGTTTTCAGAAGTGCAGCAGCGATCTCCCTTTGGAAGCCTGCATCCTGGCAATTTTCACCGTCCACCTGGGCCGGAAATGCGCCTGGAAATGATGGCAGATCCGTTTAATAAAAGGGGTTTATATCCCTGGCCGCCGGGCTTTGATCCACAGGGGCCTTTTCCACCAATGTTAGACCGCTCCCATCTCCTCCAGCTTAGAGAGGCTAGTCTGCGCGGGGCAACTTTGTCTGAGCTTGACTACTACTCCCAGCAGCTACGACGACTTGCAGGCACAGATTATAGTCCTACACCTTCTCCAACGACAACAAGACGTCACAGCGCCAGCTCCGCAGCTCCTCCCTACTCTCCAGCTAATCCACAGCCGTCAGCATTCTCTCCCAGCTCTAGTCAACCTTCGGAACAACCCAAGGATCCGCTGTCAGCACCAACAGCACAGCGACTCAAGTCCTGTGAATTTTGTGGAAAAAGCTTTAGATTCCAGAGTAATTTGATAGTCCACCGGCGATCGCACACAGGAGAGAAACCTTTCAAGTGCCCCCTTTGCCCCCATGCATGCACGCAGGCAAGTAAGCTGAAACGCCACATGAAGACCCATAGGAACAAATCGCCCATGTCCTCTCAAGCATCCAATTTGTCTGCCGCAGGGTCAGATAACAGTGGCCTCTCCACCGCTAGCCCGGACTCCAACCGGCTGTCTCAGAGAGGCGAGGAGTCGGAGCTGGAGGATGAAGAGGAGGAGGAGTTTGAAGAGGAATTTGAGGAGGAAGAAGAGGAAGAGGAAATGGAGGGCATGGAGTTTGCAGAAGGTGACCAACCCACAGATCTTTCACATTTTCACAAAGAGGCAGCAGCACACTTCAGCACTGAGCAGACTTTACAAGACAAGCAGACGGCGGAGGACCAGCCTAAGGACTTGACTGTGGAAAGACCCAGCGCGTTCTCTCAGAAGCTTAACACAAGGTCCCCCAGCAGCACTGCATTCCCAGAAGAGAGCCAGAATCCCAATAAGGAGGATGGCAGTTCACGTGGCAGCTCTCCCAACTCGGATCCAGAGTCTCGCTCTGTATTGAAGGAAGTGATGAAGTCCTCTTTCTTAAAGAACATTCAGCAATATGATGAAGCCTTTAAACAAGCATTAGCAGAAAGTACTCAACAAACAATAGCCATATCATCATCATCTGCCACATCAGAGAGGAAGGAACATGGATCTGAGAACATTGTTGAAAATGGGGTAAAAGAGCCACCGGGGTCTCCGTGCAGCTCTGCGAGGAGCCCAGTGGTGAAAAGTGAGCGACGCTCTGATACAGAGCCATTACCATCACCATCTTACGAGGCTGGTGTCCCCGAGTTCATAAAGAGAAAGAAACTGGATCAGCAGCAACAGCAGCAGCTGATGGAGCAGCATCATCGAAGGGTGGCCAACTTTGAAGGATTCTACCCCTGGTTCTCTCCACATGGTATCCACCCCCGAGATGTATTTATTGGCAATCTCCCGCATCCTCCTCCTCCTCATCTTTCCCTTCAACACACAGTGAGACACTCGCAAGCCAATGGAGTGCCTGGCATCACCGCAGACAACAGCGCTTTTCGCATCCACGAGAAAGGGGCGTCCTTAATGGGCGGCTTGCCCCCATCCTCTCATCGCCCGCAGTCACTGCCCTCGCTGCCTGTCAACACGCCCCAGAAGAAAGAGCATCGTCGCAATGACACCTGTGAGTATTGTGGGAAAATATTCAAGAATTGTAGTAATTTGACAGTCCATCGCCGCAGTCACACAGGGGGAGAAGCCGTACAAATGCGCACTGTGTAATTATGCATGTGCACAATCTAGCAAGCTCACACGACACATGAAAACGCATGGGCGACTCGGCAAGGACGTCTACCGCTGCAAGTTCTGTAACATGCCCTTTTCTGTGCCAAGTACGCTGGAGAAGCACATGCGCCGTTGTGCAGATAACCAACAGAATCGGATCCTGAGCGAAAACTCCCGTGACAGCAATGCGAGCTCTGTGGTTGCTACCAGTAATGCGCTCTGTTGATGGTTGGGTTTTGATTAATTAAGTACACACAAGTTTACTGTTTTTTTCTTCATGAAGCATCACTGAGTGACATAACCCATGACTAAGATTTGTAGGAACTACACTTCAGTTCTAAGTATTGGACTCCATTGTTTTTCTTCAAAGTAACTCATTATTAAGGGTAAAATTTTACCAGGAGAATATAAAACTGAGACCTGTATGATGGTTTCTTTGTAGATAGATAATGCTTATTGCTAGGTCTGCTGGGCAAGGGAGATCCACACAGTTCTTGGGAATACTCTGTGTTTGTAAGAAATACATCATAAGCTGGGAGAGCAGGTACAGACTATTTTTCAAGGGCTGATTGGTACTCCCTGGTCACAGATATGATAAATCATTGTTAAGAGTGTCGGTGATTTTGCTCGTGATCCTTGTACTATACGTTTTGTTGGGCGATGACAAATATGAAGGAGCACCTGCAGAATCACTGGCCTCTCTAGATATCAGTGCCATGATTATTTTGTTGCTTTTTGGATGGTTAAATTATATTTTTAGCTTTGTTGAACACCTGTGTCATTGTCTTGCACTTGCCAAAATCTATGTTAATGATGGTTGTATAGCCATGCAATGGCTGTTGTTTTTTTTTTAATGGTTGTTATTGTGCTTACGGCTTTTTTGTAAAGTACTTTTAATGTCTACTTTTGGGGGAAGGGTTTTATCCGACCACTTATTCAGATGATTAACCACATGTACACTTACAAACATGCACACACACACACACCCACATATATATATTTGTGTATGTTAAGTTTGATTTTTACAGTCATTTTAACCAAATGTGTATGCATGCAGCCACCCCTGAAGGATTAGAAGGTGAGCTTACTTTCATGAAAAATTATTCTAAGCTGGGGACATGAGAGTAGGTTCACCTAAAATCTATTTTTAACTTCTTGTAAGGTATGCATGAACTTTATTTACATAGTGTTAAGACTGTATTATACACATAGTGTAATGTCATAAAGTTGCCATGGTAACTACTCCAGTTGAGGTGGATTTATATTATATAGGTTATCATGGCAAGATGGAAGTTTTTAATGAATCTCAGTGATGCTAAATGAAGAAATGGATTCTAATTGTATTCAAGAACTTTTTAAGTATGCTTGGAGGTTGGAATTATTGTCTCAAATTCTATTCTTAATTCTTTTCTTTATTTGTTAGTTTTATTCTTTACTTTCTGAACTTGGATACCGAAGCCAAATTCTTTCAAGTCCATCCTATTATAATACTCAGAGTGAAGGACGGCTGGTCTCTACAATTGGCAGACAACTTGGATGTGATTGGTTGTCGCCGTGGAAACTGGCATGAATATTTAACCAACTTTTTCTAGAACATTTAATCCTTCAAACTTGCAGACCATATTGCCTTTTTGAAAATCATTAGGCATGGTGAAGTAGCGTCAGCAAACTGGGAGGCATGCACCATTGATTGGAGATAGGAGACGGTTTAGAAAGATCATCCATTTTTATTTTGGATTTTGCTGATGCAGAAGGAGAATTTTGTCTTTTGCATCGTCAATGGCTCGTGATTTTTGGCCTATTGCTCACCGTGTGCCTATCATTCTTGTATTTCGTAACTGTTTGTGCTTTGAATTAAAAAAGGACAGCAATTGTTGGACAATTCAGATGACAATGTTTTCTATGGACATTCTTGGGGATGTTTATACCGTGTACTTTTACTGCACTTATTTTTTCCAACTGGATTGGTTCAACCTCCACATGTATTATTTTAAACATGTAAACTTTTTTGTGCTAGGTATAGTTTGATGTTTCATAATTTATATGCTTATTATTATTATTTTTGGAGTAATGAAAACTGGCTTGGAGTCAAGGGCAGTGGCAGAATGTGATAGCTGTAGCCCCCCTGCCCCCAACATATACCAGATATAAAGAGAGTTTTTGATATGGGGGGTTGGGAAAGATGGTGATAATCGTTGAAGATGAGATAATGAACTTAACAACCGGGAAAAGAGGGTTGGATTTGGCAATGTGCTAAGGGGCAGGGGAAGGCAGCATTAGTCGTCCCTTTAACATGGGTTGACTTAAAACTTTGGGAGATGCACAACACCAGATTGTTGATAGAGGATGCAAAATGCAGAGATATATTTTTTCAGAAAAAAAATTTGAGAAAAAATGTGTTGTGGTGTCCAAGCTGCCGAGCAGCACCCTGATGTGGGCGGGTCTGTTGTAAACGACCCTGTTTTTCATGGTGCTTTCCTGACAGCAGCACAGTGTTCTCTAGTTGACCTCTGACTGACGGGGTGCTGTGGCCAGGGTGCAGACTAAACAACCCGGTGTGTATACTACTGTCCTATAGCAGGAGGGAAAACTTTTCTTTACATATACCAGGGGGGAGAGCATTTCTATGTATTATACCTGCTATTATAGTACTATTACCGTGTATCGTGAAGCCATACATATATAGCTGAGATATTTTTGAAAATTTCTTGAATGCATGATTTTTTTTCCTCTTCCTTTTCTTTCTTGTTGATGAAAGGGTGGTATGTATTCGTTCAGAGGCCTGATGGGATTATTGTCATCTCGTCTCTCGTGGAGCTATCAAGCACCAGTGTGTTGGACTTTGTAAAAGTTATGTAGGTATATGTGGTTTTAGCTATAAGCCACCATTCTTTGCATTAGGGAAAAATAAGAGAAACAGTTGGTTCAACTGCCATATAACGATTTGATCTCAACCTATAGAGTGTAGAGTTGATTATATGTTTCTTAGAGTAAAGTAGTAGTAGTGTTATTGTCTGTCTCTAGTGAAACTTTTATCGTCGTCTGTGTTTTGTAAAACATAACAATGGTGCACAAATTTTTGAGATTCCCTGTGAATTAAAAAACTGGTTCATTTCGGGGCCTGCATGGCACGCCACATGAAGGTTGTCAGCTGCAAACAGTGGACAGAAATAGTGTATTGGGCCCACGAATGAGCATAACTGTGATGATATGGAGTCTGCAAGGGGTGGATATTTTATCTAGAGAATTCCTACAAGTGAATAACGTGGAATGTGGGGTTTTGTAAAAAAGTCAGAACAATACTTGTGGACTTTCTGATTTGTTTTCACAATTAATCCAGTCATTAGATGGCTGTGTTGTTTTTTTCCTTCTTATTTTCTAGAGGGCAGATGGCATATTTGAATAATTGAGAAAGCTATTACTACCACAAAATAGTAGCCAGCTAAACATTATTATATTTTTGTGTTGTTTTCACATTGCTTAAAGAGATGAAAAAGGTGAAGCACAGATCAAAACTGCATCCCGGCAGTCTAAATTGTGGGGCTTTTTTTGCATAAACAAAAAAGTATGAAATGTGCAATGACTATATTTATTGCAAGTACTGTATGAATTTTTTCTATGACAGAATGGTTTGCGAGCGCAGAAGGCTCCATCATACAGATAATCACAGGGACTCGCGAGTCCATCGCCTCAACATCTCATGCCTGATTTGAAATGGGAGCTCTTAAAGACTGCACCCATTCATGTTGTTGATCCAAGGGATACTAGTAGGCTCAAGTTTTGGGGCGTGGAATAGAAACTCACCAAGGCAGAATTATTCACACATTTCTCACTACAGATTCCATGGCACAACACATGGCGCAGAGAGATGGCGTCAGATTTCTGTGTATCGGTGATGGTGCTATTGTTTTTTTATTTTTTCTCTGGCAGATGTACTGAGTTTCTGGGGGTGGTGGGGATGAGGACCTCCGTAGTCACGAAATGCACATAAAACTGTGTTCAAAAACATACAGGGGTGCTCAGCTCTTCACATGGAGTTATATTTTGTGCCATAAATTTTCAAGTGGACTGATCATTTGGTGACGTCGGATTTCCCCCCCCCCCCCCCCCCCTCCCCAATCCAGCCACAGGCTTGTGCCATTAGTATCCCAACTTGCACAACACTAAACCTTGTCATTGTTCACATATCACAGTAGATATGCAGTGTGGCTGTAGAGTAAGTGCATATATATATAGAAATATATATACATATACATATATAGTAATCATCTTTGTGTATAGTTACATCGTAAAAAAAAGTTTGCTTTTAGATGGTTATTTTTGATGATATTTACTGTCAGATTTAGTCACGTTATTGGTAATCATGTAGATTTTGTTCATTGGTCTTCGGATGTTTCTACATAATCAAATTGGATGTAGAGTTTCTCTTTTATACCTATAGTAGATACTAAAAAAAAGTAGCCAGCATTTTAAGCTTATATTGCTTGAGGTATGCCCAAATCAGTGTTCACAGAGGCTTCAAGGAAGATGGGGGGAGAATAACACTGGCAGCCAGTAGCTGCTGCTCTGGGGGACTTATCTTGCAGTGCCTTAGTACACATACAATGAGTGTGTTATGTTACAGCATAATACCTTTCACATACGATCTAACACTGCCAACGAGCAAACGGATCACCATGAACTGGGGACGGAGATCAGACAAAAACATACGTTCTAAAACTGTGATTTCAAACAGATAGAATTGTTGCCTAGACGTGACAAGTTCTCCCCAGCGTTGCGTCGTCCTAGTTCATGTGTGCTCTGGCTATTAGCCCTGTGAAGCCTAGGTGACCATATTAACTGACCTTTTCATAGCGCGTTCTGCAGGGTTGCCGCTTGGAGTTGACTGGGGGTTGTTATGCACATATACAATGTTTTATTATAAAAAAAAATAATTACAAAGAATGTTTTTTCTATCAGTGGACTTAACTGTCATTTTCCTTACTGTGGTTGGTCAATTTGAAGTCCTGGCTGTACAAGGAGATTGAAGATATCAGGCCATTTTGAGTTTTGGAAGTCCCACATACTATGCAATCATTTGAATTTGGCATTGAAACATCTATTTCTTAAAAAAAGGAAGAAAATGGATCATTTAATGATCATAGATGTAATTCAGATAGCTTGAGAAAAAAAGCCAGGAAAACTCTTTGACTGACTATAAGTTTTGTCTCTTCCTCCTGTTTTCATCTGTGCAACTCTGTACCTGTCTCTTCTTGACAAAGCTACTTTTCAAGAAAGCGCCACCTATCCTTGTCTCATTGAAATCAAGTTACTTTTAAGTGTCATTATCTGTAGCATACATCAAAAGATTTTATTATGACTAATTTAGATTTATCAGAGATGCTTTAGTTTTAACTTCTTGTTATTTCAGAAGAAGAGCCTCGAGGTGCCATATTGATTGTACAGTGTTGTTTTTGTCATATATTGCATAGGTTATACTAATGAACACGATGAGTGTTGATAAAAAAAAGATTGAAAAAATAACAGTTTTAAACTAAGCAGAGTATGATACATCTTTATTTAAATGTATTTCCTTATTATTATATTATAATGCAGTGGACATGAAGGGGACTGACCAATACTGACCAGAGGCTAGCTCAAAGCACTCGGCCAGTAATTGTTGATACTGTTTTATGCAAATTTAACGAAAAAAGACATTGCTTTTCATCAATTTGGAGAATACTACATCTGTAAGCACTGCTTGATCAAAAGAAATTTGTCATTTATTTATTTTGGTATGGTTGATGCGTACCGGGTTATATGGGAGTACTTCTAGTTTGGCGCCTTTTGTGTTTTGTATTTAAAATGGTGGTTACTGTATTATTATGCCTTGTACTCAGTACATGTAAAGTCAATAAAACGTTGTACTAGTTTGAAATTTGCGTTTGAGTCTTGGAAGATTTAAAAAACATATTAAAAGAGTTCAATTTATAACCAAGAAAGTATTTTGGGGTAAAATACCGAAGCTGTAAGGCATTTTGTTATTTTGTTAAGTGATCTGCAAGTGTATCCGATTGACTGAATTAATGCAAAACTACATTGTGGAAAAATTGTGTGTTATGAAGAATATGTACAAGAGCACACTACTGGTATCACTTCAATTCCACAGCTGAAGTTTACCGGGAGAGCCACCAGTGACGTAAAACACAATCATGAACACATCCAACAATACCATCTCACCTAACACAATATGACACCCCCTCCCCCAATTGTCTATGTTAAAGTGTATATTCTATACTAGAAGCCAGCTGAGTAATGAACGTTGTTAACTTCATTCCGTCAATAAATAAATAGATAGATAATAAATAAATAAAAAGAAATAAAACTTACCTGAACAATACATTAATGTGCACAGAATGAGAAATCTGTACAAATATCTGGTTAAGAAATCTGTGACGCTAGGTGAAGGTAGCTAGTAACTGCCTATTCTAATAGTTATTTTATTGAGAACTATAATGTTTAATATAAAGGTATACTAATTTTTCAGGATTTTAACACAATTTGTTAAACAGCACAGACACGCACGTGCTCACAAGCGCGCGCGCACGCACAGACACGCACACACGAGTGTATGTGTTCAGCCCGGGAAGACGCAGAGAGAGAGAGAGAGAGAATTAGAATACGTAATTTTTAGGGAGTAAATGCAAAATTTATTTAGAAATATATTAATAATATTTGATCACTACTTTTGAAAAGGACACGCATACCCCCCTCCCCCCTCTCCCTCCAGTACAACTGAGTTCACGAGAAAAAACATGATTTAATTTTGGCAAATTCTCTTTGGTACAAGATTGCAATGCATGTACATCTTTAGACATGTTGTTGTTGTTAAAACGTCAGACACCATATATGCACATACGTAAACAATTCTGATCGTTGTTTTATTTTCCAAAGTACCCTCGGATGTAATCTTCTAACTGGCCACACACGGCATTTGGGGTTGGGTCACCCGATGCACAAGCTTTTCCCACTGCCCATTGACAAGCCGTAAACCACAGCACAGAATCTCCTGGGATGACAGCGGTGATGGTCCCCAAAGCGGCAGCAGCTGCAGTGCAGGCGGGTTTAGAAGCTATTTTACAGGAAAATTTGAATGGTGACATCACAGCTTTGCAGGACCCTCGAAGTGCTTTGACTACGAGGTCTGATAGGAATCCTCGTCGCTGTCTGTCAAACTGGTCAAACAGAGCATCTCGTCTGGCTTCCACTTTAAACAAACAAAAACAGATATTAGCAATTAAAAGAGAAAATTTATACATCTGCACTTTCACGATACTATAGGTAACAACAATGCGACATGGGCATCAAAACTTTAACATGGCACCGATCTTGTGAGCACGCTCTCCGCTTAGAATATGCATCGCATTTTGCTTTATATTCATAAATTTTGTAATACGTAACTTTAAACACATTAAAAAATTATCAGGGAAGAGTACACTTAACTTCACAAAGTTGGGAAAGCACGCTGCGATCCTTAATCGGCGGTTAACCAGCGATGACATGAAATCGTTTTTCGTGAGTTGCACGTCAAAAAGTGGTAACCGGAGAGGGCAAATTTAAAAGTCTCATTTTAATATTCATGTGACCGGGTCATTACGACATCAATGGAAATTTCCTCTATTTGCGCTAAGTCCCTGGGTCGAATCTGAACGGGAATCAAAAATACACGCAAGCTGTGGTTTCGCAGTTGTGCGTGTCTGAGAAAAAAAGGAAACAGGATTGGGTCATAACACCTGTGATTACACGCTCAGATTACAGGATTTCCTTACACATTCTTGTTTTATAAAAAGCAGTGTATTTCAGGTATTTAAATCCCAAAATTGAACAATTTGTTTAGCTCACGTGTATAGGAGATAATACTTTGTACCGAAGTTGAAAACGGAAACGATGGTAACGCACAACAACCCGTTTTTTTTTCAGCCATCAAAATTTGCGACGAAGTGCAAATTTTGCTTTTCCCCAGTGTATATGCTGTAAATCATCCCCGAGATGACCAAAAACATGACAATACCATTCTGAGAGCTTTCTTTTCCATAATGTTCACCTGCAAAACAGATTAACTAGTATGTCTGTGTCCCAGATTTCAGCGCCGTTCAAGAAGTTGTAAAGTTATAAAGTTGTAAAGTTATAACTTCTTGCACCGTTTAAGTGTCACTTTCGTCTAAGAATTTAAAAAGTTTAAAATACGCAGCACTGTTTGGAAACGCAAAATTGTCTAATGTACTAATAAGATAAATTCACCCCCTTTACATGAAAGCACCCCCATTGTAATCCAACGCACAGGAATATTTGGACAGACTTTTAAAGATGATAACCCATTGTTGTCACCAAGCATTGTGGACGTACAGAAATTGATTTACAAGTTACACGCAGTTAAGACCAAGTCTTTTCTTCATTACCCTTTTATAAGCATTAAAATACAAATCCATACAGGTTCATAAAAAAATGAAATAGTCTTCTATTTACGGGTATGAGTGCTGGTCAAGTCAAAATACAATCACTTCTTTTAGAAGGCGCAACACATTGTATTATAACATAACTTATATAAAATTATGAAATTAAATGCATATGTTAAAACTTACACTCTACAAAGTCGATGGTATCCTCTTCCTCAATAGGCAGCTTTTTAGCCTGTGCCAAACCCAACCACAAACAGAGAGCCAACGCAACCAAGACGATGTAGGTACGCATCTTGTCTATGGTCAAGGAGTGTATGCAGCTGTATTTCCATCTCAGAATTTATAGGTTGCGATAGCCAATCAACGACCGCTAAACGGTTCGTGTAATTCGCCATCTTGTTATACGAAAATCATGCACTTATAATCTAATCAGTGTATGGGGGCGTCTTGATAGCCCGGAGGTTTATTGGTCCGAAAAATGGTAACATTTTCATCAGTTTTTAAACCAAGGGTTCACTGGTCCAAAGGTTTTATAGTGAACATTTGGACCAAAGAACCTTCGAACTATTGAACCATTGGACTATATTGCTACGGCCCCCAGTGTATTGTGGCATCAACAACCTCTTCAGCCTCCCTCCTTCTCTCTCTCTCTCTCTCTCTCTCTCT